AAAAAAAAAAAAAAATAGCAAATGTTTCCATCCTTTCACTGCTTCCATGCTTGTCTGTTAAATATATATATATATATATATATATACACACATGTGTATATGTGTGTATATATATATAAATATATATGTATATTGGCATAGATATAGATACAAAGCCAATTGTTGTTGAGTAGACTCTGACTCACGGCAACCCCATATGTGTCAGAGTAGAACTGTGCTCCATAGGGTTTTTGGTGGCTGATTTTTCAGAAGTAGATCGCCAGGCCTTTCTTTCAAGGCATCTCTGAATGGATTTGAACCTCCAACCTTCAGTTAGCAGTCGAGTATGTTAACCGTTTTTACAACCCAGGGACTCTCATAAATATAGGTATATACACATTTTTATACCAGACTTATTTAGCTCTTTAAATAAGTAAAAGGCACATATACACAGAAGCTTTCACTGTCTTTTCTCCTAAATTATTTTCTTGACAATAGGGCAAAGTGACTTAAATCTAGAGAAGAAAGTGTCACACAGGAAGGGTTTCAGGATATGGTAGTAGAAATGGAAATATTGCTGATCTCCACATAGGCTCTCTCCCTCCAACAAGGAAATACAGACATAATCAACTTGCATCACCTCCATGAGGCCCATTCATAACCTCTCTGCACACAACTCAGAGAGATGAACAAACGTTTTTAATAAAAAGCTGCCCAATGCCCAAGCTGCAGGCTTGGAAATGGTCATGGGCACAATATTCTAATGACCCTCTGGGAAGTAATAAAGCAGGAGATTCAGAGAAAACTCTTTTTTCCTGTCTCCCATCCCCCTCCAAGTCTTAGAAACCCTATCCTTAGAATAACCAAGACTTCCTGTTTAATCCCAAACAATAACTGGTGAGAGTAAAAGCCAATTTCTCATTCTTCACTGCACTAAGTCGTCACGCTCATTGTTCCTCCCTTTTGTCTTTATTAGGATTTACCTATAAGATATTTAAACAAGTGAAATGAAAAATAGTACCAAGTGAATTCCAATTTAATGGTTGTTGTTAGTTGCTGCCAAGTCTTTTCCAACTTATGGTGACCCTACATGTTACAGACTAGAACTGTGCTACATAGGGTTTTCAAGGCTGTGACCTTTCAGAAGCAGATTGCCAGGCCTTACTTCCGAGGCACCTCTGGGTGGGTTAGAACAGCCATTTCTTTCAGTTAGTAGTCCAGTGTTTAGCTATTTGCATCACCCAGTGACTTCTTAATGTAACTAGTGCCCATCACATTTTTATATTAATTAATTTTAATTCTCTAGAGAGTTTATTCCTTATTCAGTTCTATTTTTGAGTGTTCAGTGCATGAATAAATAAATGAATGGCATAGACAAGTGGTCCTCATCCAGGGTGGAAATGTCTGGAACAGCATTTTCACTTTCACAACGACCTGAGAGAGTACACTACTGGGGTTTTGTGGATAAGACCAGGTATAAGAAACATTTTGAAATGCAAAGGGAAGTCCCAAACAATGACAAATTTCACACCAGAAATGCTGACAGCCCTCTTTTGCAAAGCACTAACATCCATCATTCAATGTAAACGTGAAACCTAGTAGATTCCAAGTTTCCCACCCTTTCATCTCTCTTTCTGAACGAGGTCGTTAAAAACTGATAGTCCAAGTGGTTCACTGCCAAACTTACTGTAACAAACCCTTTTTGTATGATCAGATACTTCCATAAAAAAGCATAAGGAAAATGGCTCATGATATACCGTAGAGAAGTAGCCATCAATGTTACACAAAGTAATGTTGCCTAGAGTAGCTCAGCCAATCCCTACCGAGTATCAGGCCCCTTAGCCTCCCAGCAACTATATACAGAACCATTGTTGGAAGATAGAATTGTATGTTCGCGAGTGGAAGCCTCAGACTGACAAAGGAAAGTGATTTGTTCAGTTTCACTGGAAATTTTTTTCTTAAAGACAGATTTAGTTTCTGATTATTTCATGAAATGGAGGGATTTTTTTAGTTATGACACCAGACTTAGCATAGAATTTCACATTAATCTTACCACTAAATTGTTTCCACAGCCCTCCAAGGTGCTGAGATTGATGATGAAGATGACCACGGCAGGGAAGGTGTTGTTATTTATGAACCCCTTGCAGTGGGAATCCCCATGCCTTCCGTTCAAGGCCAGATCTGTTTCCGAATAACCCGAGAAAAGTACGGTGCAAAAATTAATCTTCATTGTGATGGCTTGCACCCCACAGTAAACACTGATGTCTCTTTCAGCTGAAATAAAAATATACAGAAAACAAATGTAAGTCACAAAAGCACAGCAGAGGGTACAAGAATGATTCTAACATGCCCTTACTTATTCAGCTCCTTGGTGTGTTTAACTCATTTCTATATTTGAATACATCATAGTCCAATGTGCATGTTATCCAGAAAAGTAGCCAGGAAAAATAGTCATTGACTTAGTTACTTAGGAAGAGATTTTGAGCATAGAGATAAATACTTCATCTCTGTTTCCTTGTGGCTGGTGTACAGTGGCCATGCATTAAATATCAGTCAAGTGATGTTAAATGATTTGAGAAATGAGTGGAAAAAAATCAGGGTACTGAGGAAATTCATAACTAGAATAACCAAGTTATCCTGCTCAGCTGTATAGAGTAGTAAAACTTATTACAAATAATACATATTACCAAGTATAAGGAAGACGCCTTTCAAATCCATCCTATACCAAATTGTTAAGCACTTTGGTACTTAGGTAACTCATCTTCCCCAGGATGTATACAAAGCCATCCATCAGAATTCAATTTTATTTTGCCTGTGTTAAATCACACTGGGGAGAAAGAGAATGAAAACTAGTGCTCTGATATTACAAACATAAATGCTAGCCAGTGATATGGTGCTTCCTTAGAAAGCTAGAAATAGAAATACCATACGATCCAGCAATCCCACTCCTAGAAATGTATCTTAGAGAAATAAGAGCCGTCACACGAATAGACATATGCACATCCATATTCATTGCAGCACTGTTCACGATAGCAAAAAGATGGAAACAACCTAGATGCTCATCAACAGATGAATGGATAAACTATGGTACATACACGCAATACAGTATTATGCAATGATAAAGAACTGTGATGAATCTGTGAGGCATCTCATAACATGGATGAAACTGGAGGACATTATGCTGAGTGAAATAAGTCAATCACAACAGGACAAATATTGTATGAGACCAGTCCTATAAAAACTCATGTAAAAGTTTACACACAAAAAGAAACAATCTTTGTTGGTTATGAGGGATGGCGGGGGGGGGAGGACTAAATAGGCAATAGATCAGTGGTAACTTTGATGAAGGGTAAGACAGTACACGATACTGGGGAAGCCAGCACAGCTTGTACAAGGAAATGTCATGGAAGCTCCATAGCCACATCCAAATTCCCTGAGGGACTGAATTGCTGGGCGGAGGGCTGTGGGGACCATGGCTCAATTGGCATGGCACAGTTTATAAAGACAATGTTCTACATTCTACCTTGGTGAGTAGCGACTGAGGTCTTAAAAGCCCATGAGCGGCCATCTAAGATACTCCACTGTTCTCACCCCTTCAGGAGTAAGGGAGAATGAAGAGAACAAGATACAAAGAAAAGATCAGTCCAAAGGACTAATGGACCATAGCTACCACGGCCTCCACCAGACTGAGTCCAGTATAGCTAGATGGTGCCCGGCTACCGCCACTGACTACTCTCACCGGGATTAAAACAGAGGGTCCTAGACAGAGTCGGAAAAGGATGTAGAACAAAATTCTAACTCACAAAAAAAGACCAGATTTACTGGCCTGACAGACTGGAGAAACCCTGAGAGTATGGCCCCCGGACACCCTTTTAGCTCAGTGGTGAAGTCACTCCTGAGGTTCACAGTTCAGCCAGGGATTGGACAGACAGCCTCATAAAACAGAACAGGACTAATGAGGCACAGCAGTCCAGGGACAAGGACTAGTAGGCAGGAGAGGACAAGAAAACTGGTGATAGGGAACCCAAGGTTGAGAATGGACAGTGTTGACATGTCGTGGGGTTGTTAACCATTGTCATAGGGCAATATGTGTACTAACTGTTTAATGAGAAACTATATGTTCTGCAAACCTTCATCTAAGGTACAAAAAAAAAAAAAAGTATTATCTATGTGAGATGAAATTGACAGCAGCGACTCATAAGTTTTGATGGGAAGCCTAGGGGGCAGTGAGTTGAAGATAATGGTGATGGAATAATTTGGAAAAGGTTTGTGAGAGTAGCAGCACAACTGGAAGAATGTAATCGATATCACTGAATTGTACATGTAGAAACTTTTGAAATGGTGTATCTTTGGCTGTGTATATTTTCACCAAAAAAAGAAAAGAAAAAAAAGATCCTCCAAGATCGAGAAGGGAGAGTGTTGGCATGTCGTGGGGTTGTTAACCAATGTCATAAAACAATACGTGTACTGTTTAATGAGAAACTATCTGTTCTGTAGAACTTCATGTAAAGTACAATAAAAAATGAAGAAAAACAAAAATGTACAGACTACTCAAAGAAAATGTTGCCAATGACTATGCCTCAATAAAAGGGATGAAGTATACATGGAAATGCAAGACACATTTTGTACAGTCCTTCATGATTTCATGAGTTATCAGTGATTGGGATCCATCCTAGGTCTGTAGAGGTGAAAAGACATCCTTACACACACACACACACAGATATTTTCATATCTCTAATTATTTTTTTACATGTAATGAAGAAAATGTATGTAGAAAATGGAGAATTTGGCTGCTAGGTAATTCCCCAGTGGTAGAAGCTTTTACTTTTGTTGGTTTTAAAAACCTTTGCATTTTTTCACTGTGTTTTACCAATTAGATAAGGAATCTGAAATGAGCATCAGGTTTTCAAAACGTGGAAACAAACAAAAATTGAGTAGGCTATTTGGAGGAATGACCTTGAGTGTTCAAAAAACAGAAAACTAAACAAAATAAAATGTATTTTTGGTTAATGATAGGATATTCACCTAAATAGTATGTAATATCCTTTAACATTTTTGGCAAAAAATTAATAACTGAGTCCTAATCCATGGGTAGAAGTGTTCAACAGCATATCTCTTTGTAGTATTTGTTCTCAACATTTTGTAAACAAAGTGAATCATATTTTGAGGATACAAATAAGTCAGTATGGAAATTTCTATGTTGGGTTACAATTTTACACTCATTACAATTACCTGTATAGAAAGATGGAAGATCTTTTTCATGGCCATAAGGCAAATCTAAGGCTAGTTATTATAGAACATTCTAAGCAATATTCCCTTTGTAGGTGGAAAAATAAAATGAATAAATTATCAAGAACATTTTGCCAACAGAGAAAATATTAAATACCATTTAAAATTGAGGGAAATTCTCTATTAGCCTTCAGCAACATTAACTGCTTAAATGCAACCACAACTTTTAAATGATGCTCTTTACTTAAATAATACAGTTCATTTTAACAAATGTTTATTGAGTGGCTATGAACGTCAAAATATATCTTATATCTATTGATTTTACATCATCAGTGTACTACTCCTTGGTCCATATCATTATCATATTTTCTTTCTGGAATACTATAGTAACTTCCTAACTGGTTTCTTTATTTCCACTCTCCACTTTGCCCCACACCCCCACTCTACTCCCAATTAATACAGCCACTAATACATAAACCTGATCATGTTATCCTCTTGCTCAGATCTTCAACAGCTACTCATTTCACTTAGGCCAAAAGTCCAGATTTTGAACCAGGTCCTCAAGACTCTCTGTGATCTGGTACCTGTCTACATCTGCCTCCTCACCTCTCTCTTCTATCCCACTTGCTCCCTAGATTTGTCACACTAACCTTGTTTTAGTTCCTTAAAAGCATCAAATTGTGTGATAGAAGCCAGAATGGTGGTTACCTCTGGGATGGAATTGTCTAGAACAGGGGCACAAAGAAAATTTTGGGGATGATAAAATGTTCTCTCAATATGGGTGGTAGTTACATGACTGTGTACATATGTTAAAATTTTAAGTTGTACCCTTAAGATTGATGTATTTTACTGCATTAAGTTAATCCTCAATAAAGTCCTGTGAGTGAGGCCTTCATTCAGTCTGTTTGCCCTGTTGGCAACGCTCCTACTCCTATTCTTTGCCTGAGTAACACCTACTCACCCTTCAGGTCTTAAATTCAACTGTAATTTTCCCAAAAACTTTCATGATCCTAAACCTAAATTATGCCATTCTGTTTTATGCTGTTGTATTCCCTTAGAATCTTATGTGCATTTGTATGTCTATCTTCCCAATAAAATGGAAGTCCAAGAAGGCAGGAAGCTATTATATTCACTGTTGTGGATTGAATGTGATTCCCTAAAATATATGTTGAAGTCCTATACCCTGGACCTATACATATGACCCTGTTTAGAAATAGGGATTTTCTTTCGTTAATGTTAATGGAGTCATGCTATAGTAGGGTGGCTCCGAAAACTAATCACTTCTGAGTTATAAAAGGAGCAGAATAGACACAGAGCTACACAAACATGGGAAAGACAGATTCACATGGGAGATATACCTACAAGCCCAGAACACCAAGGATTGTCAGCAGCTACCAAAAGCTGAAAGAGACAAAGAAGGACCTTCCCTTACAGTCTACATCCTGAATTCCTACCTCTAGCCTCCAGAATTGTGAGAAAATAAATTTCTGTTCTTTAAAGCCACCCACCTGTGGTATTTTTTGTTAGTCAGTGTTAACAAGCTAAGACATTCACCACTGCACTCCAGTGAGCATTTAATTAACTAATTAATCAATCATTTAAAGTACTTGCAAATTATGAATTCATGATCAATATGAATTGATGATTCAAAAGTAGTGGTCCTTGTTCTCAAACAGCTCACAATCTTTTAGGGGAAATAGACACATTTGCACATTAACACATTAACATAGCCCACATTGACAGAAAGATGGTGCAGAGAGCTATGGGACAGCAAAGAAAGCAAACCTAACCCAACCCAGCTAGCTGATTAGGATAGGCTTCCTGGAGAAGATAGCATTGAGTTGAGTTTCAAAGTATCAGTCAGAGGTACCTACATAAAGGAGCGGACAGCATGAAATATGTTGCAGGTGTGAAGTATGTTCAGGCTCTTTGGGGGCTAGACCTGTTTTTATTAGAATATAAAACGTGAAGGAGGAAATGGCAAAGAATGAGGCCAAGCTGCAGGCACAGGCAAAATCCCAGAAAACACTGGGGTCTTCAAGGTA